GAAGGAAACTGAATAAACTTCCAGGAGCTCTGGTGCTCCACGATCCCGTCTCTGAGAGGTTAATTTTCCACAATATCAGAGTTGTTTCTTGTTGATGCAGGAGGGTCTCAGGACAGTGGTCATGATCCAGGACACTCCACATTCAAAAACACTTATGGACATTGGTTCCTGCCCTTTATGGACCAATGCCTCTATGTGTTTGTCTAACAATATGATTCTCTGATCTGTGTCGGCGAATTCAACGGTTTTGTAAAGTCCTTCTGGAAAACTACTGTTGTGATTTAGGGCTATACAAGAATAAATTGAATTGAATTGAATTGAGGAGTTAGGGAAAACCGGAGCACCTCGAGGAAACCTATACAAACTCCACTCAGGAAGTCTCTGTTGCAACTGGGATTCAAACCCATTATTAAAATTCTCACCGTCATGTGACCGTGCTGCCCTGGAGGGACTGTGTCTTCCAGAATGAAGACAATGCACAAGATTCATCCAAATGAACTGAAAGGGAAGTCTGGGCCTGTCTGCGTAGACTGCTGCCCCCACAACCCAGCAACGGGGGAAGCAGAAGAAAGTGCATGAATGGGCCTGACCAATTGGAGGAGGGCGTGTCCATCAGGTAGTGTTTAGGAACTTTACAGCCCTGAAGGCGGGGCGACATTAGCTCAGTTGTTAGAGCATGTTTCTTATTTTAGCCCACAAGTCAAAAAGTGGTTCAGGCGTAGTTACAAGCTGCATGGAAATGTGGGAATTATGCATGAGAGGTGTAATAACAAAAATATACAGTGATACAGGAAGTGAATATGAAATCTGATCTGTGATTGACTGATGAAAGCTGGAGACTGGTCTGTCATTGGCCAAATAATCCTGAGGTGTAAAAGGACCAGTGCCGCAGGAGAACAAAGGTCGTTCATAGATCTTTAAATGGTATTAATTCAACTGTTATTTGCTGCAGGAAGTTCTCAACAATAGTTTTCCCCCAAAAAGATACTATGTGAACATTTACATTCAAACATTTACATTAAAACAAGGACAGACTTCTGAGAATTTCCTTCTTATTTAAATTGTGGTTTTGTCAACATTTTTAAAATCCACAACATAGACTGTAGAAAGAGTAGATTTAGCAAGACATTAACCTGGACATAAAATGCATTAGAAACAAAACTATTCCCCAGCTCCTGAAATCATACTGAGTCCTGGGTCTACAGCCTCAGTCCTGGGTCTACAGCCTCAGTCCTGGGTCTACAGCCTCAGTCCTCTACAGCCTCAGTCCTGGATCTACAGCTCCGGTCCTGGATCTACTGTACAGTCTCAGTCCTGGGTCTACAGCCTCAGTCCTGGGTCTACAGCCTCAGTCCTGGATCTACAGCTCCAGTCCTGGATCTACTGTACAGTCTCAGTCCTGAGTCTACAGCCTCAGTCCTGGATCGACAGCCTCAGTCCTGGGTCTACAGCCTCAGTCCTGGGTCTACAGCCTCAGTCCTAGATCTACAGCCTCAGTCCTGGATCTACAGCCTCAGTCCTGGGTCTACAGCCTCAGTCCTTGATCTACAGCCTCAGTCCTGGATCTACAGCCTCAGTCCTGGATCTGCAGCCTCAGTCCTGGATCTACAGCCTCAGTCCTGGATCTACAGCCTCAGTCTTGGATCTACAGCCTCAGTCCTGGACCTACAGCCTCAGTCTTGGATCTACAGCCTCAGTCCTGGACCTACACTATTCACTCGCCAAAGTCAATGCAACGGGAAACTGTAGTTTAAAGGACCCACCACTCTGCAAAAAATAAAATATCTGGATTTCAGATTTGAGTTACCATTTTAAACATGGTCAGTTAGCACTTTGACTGTGACCCCAGAGTGGCAGTCATATAAGACTCCTGTGTTCTGTATTGAATATTTTTGCTTCTGCAAAGCTATGTCACTGATGGGCCCCTTAACTCTGATCAAAAGGCTACATATTTATTCTGTATTGTTCTATACTGTGCATTTGGGGTAAATAGGCGTGTTTGCAGGCTCAGAGATAGTATTTGCGACAGTCTGCTTTTCTGTGGCTTTTTTGGGGTGCACCGCTGGCCTGGTCAGCCTTTGAAGAGACACCCACCGTGCGCTGCTGCCACAGTGGGTGTCTGACTGGCTCTGACTGGCTCAATGACACACTGTCTAAAGCCAAACCCCAGACATGTTTATTACAGGGGACACAGACGGATCATGGATCTATTGAGACGGAGACGAAAATAGTGCAAACAATTCAATCAATCAAAATTGGTCCGACTAGTTGTATTTAGACCCACCTTCGCTGTACATGGCCGGTTAGCTCAGTTGCTTAGAGCGTGGTGCTAATAACGCCAAGGTCGCGGGTTCGATCCCCGTACGGGCCACTCTGATTTTGACTTCTGCAAGAGTATGAACTGCACCATCGCCGAACTAATTGAGATTCTGACTCCGGGATGGTAATATGTTAGAGTATTTAGAGAAAAAATAAAAGAAGCTCTTGCCTCATCTTTAAGGAAAAGTGCATTAGTGATGATCCGAGACGTTTTACAAACAATATTAACATTTATAGACAGTGGTAATTCCGCTCCCTATGGACTAATACCTTTTGTTATTATGCATTTCCTGTTTGATTCTCTGATCTGTTGTTGGAGAATCGACAACTTTGTCCTCAGCCCTCAGAGACGACTGCCGTTGTCATTTAGGGCTGTACAAATAACATGAAGTGAATTAAATTGAATGAAGACCGCATGTCAAGATCCTATTTGTTCACATGTAACATTTTGCTTTTGCCAGACTTTCTGTTGGACAAACATGTTATTTATGAAGCACAAAAGGTTGCTCTTGATGGGGAGGAGCAGCGTCTCTACCCCGTGCGGCTCTCTTTTGTTCCCAAATGCTCAATACCACTTAACCGTTTAGATTGATGTTTACACGCCACTGAAAGCAGCTACTGTTAGAACATCCCAGTCGTGTCCGTGCCACTCCTAACCTGTAAAACCACTTAAAAACCACGATAACAACTGTATATAGAGCGCATGTAAACACACTCATTATGTGTCCTGCAGCCCATGGCACACCTGCACAGTTCCCATGATGCCGTGCTGCACTGATCCTATTCCACACTCAGGACTCCTGTTGCACCGTTGAATAGTTAACGCTCGTCTTAAACCATCTTATACCTCAGCGAGAAACTACGACTGCAGGTGAGGCGGCTTTTTCTCATTTTTAAAAACAGGCGTGACATCACAGAGGTAGTTTTAGTGACAGAATAGTCCTTAAGAGAGTCGCTGTGATCAGTGTGGAATTCAAAATGCATTGACGAAACCTATATCATCTCTAATTCTCTAATCACACCATTAGAAGTCATTTCTTGATCATTGATAATAATAATTTGTAAATGTATAACTTGATAATTTAGCAGTTGATTTGGTGAAGAATTTCTGTATAATTAAAGACATTTATTATCATTTATGGACAGTAATCTTCCCGCTTCCTCTGAACCAGTGGTTCCTATGTGTTTGTGCAGTTTGATCTGTTTGATTCTCTAATCTGGTGTTTGTGAATCAACAACTTTGTAAAGCCCTCCGAGATGACTGCTGTTGTGATTTAGGGCTAAAAACATACAAACAGAGTACACAGGAGAAAGTAGCATTGTTTTACAGCAGTGGGTCCAAACATTGATAAACGTTCACAGTCAAAGCACTTACATCTTATGCCTTTCTGACCGAAGAATAACTCGTCTCCTTTGGCTAAAACTTAATAATTGCGATATCTCAGGCCAAATGAACTTCTATTGTTGCTGCTTTCCGTCGTGAAAGCAGAGACTGAGGCTTCATCAATGTTGCAGACGTCCTGCTTCACTGCTGCTGCTGCTTCACTGCTACTGCTGCTTCACTGCTACTGCTGCTTCACTGCTGCTGCTGCTTCACTGCTGCTGCTGCTGACGGCTTTTTCATATCAGCAAAACACAATGTCATCTATCATACGCCTCAGACTTTATTTACAACTGTGAGAGAAATAATAACTCACTCAAGCCACGGTTTGATTTGAGGTTGCCAATTTAAAACAAGTTTCTTTTCTATTTTAACACCTGCATTTCTTTCTGTTGTTTCTGTACAATTACACACCACACACGACAAACAAAATTAAACATTAGACATGAACAAAACCCTTACAATACTTGCCGAACGAAAAGCTGCTTTATTAAAGTTCTTTAAACTTTGAGGCCAATAATAATGCAGCCGATGTATGTATTTTTATTCTAGTAGAGCTCTGGGGGCAGTATGGGTTTGGACACAGCTTCACCAGGCTGTTGATCTCCGGAGCACCTTCCTGCTTCAGTGTGTTTATGTGAACAGCAGAGAGACTCAATATTTTAACTCCATTTAGTTGTAGTGGAATTTTATTGTCAGTTAAATCGTTTAGTGTCCAGTCTAAAATGTACTTTCTTTACTAATTTAGTGCTGTGAAAAGTTACACAGCCAAGACTAAAGCTGCTGTTCTGTCGAGATGATCTCCCTCAGCTGTTTATGATGTAATGCAAACCTGCGCTGCGCGTCTCACTGCAGCCGAAGCAATCCAAGATGGCAGACATGTAGTCCGTGAATTGCTTTAAAAGTTATAATACGAACAAATGAAGACACGAAAGTCACTTTTAATGCAATTGGAGGCGAGATGTTGATGGTTCCGTGTGGTGATGGTTTAAGAGTAATGCTGTATGTATAATGGAAAAGGTGCGAACTCATGATTATGATAATACAATAAAGTAATACAATAATAATAAGATAAATAAATGATAAAAAGGAAGCATCGTGCAGGTCAAATCAAGGCTCATGTATAATGCTTTTTACTCTTTTTTCACTCTTTTACGGCTATTTTTTCACACAATTATACTTACTTTTTTCTATATTCAGGAAAAGCATCAAACACCAAACGAAAACTTCAGCCACACTTTTCAGAATGGAGGGAAACCACTGATCCCGACCTGAACAAACGTCTGCAACATCCCGGACCATGGCGTCGTTCCTCGGCCGCCTGTTCTCCGTGGACGCGGCGCACGTCATGTACTCGCGGCTGGTGCGCACGAAGCCCGTGGGGGCCATGGGGCAGGCTGGGGACGAGCTGACTGAGATGGGGGAGTCCGGGGTGGGCCTGGCTAAGGTGCTGACCACAGTGGACCTGGTGTCTCTGGGCGTGGGCAGCTGCGTGGGCACGGGCATGTACGTGGTGTCTGGGCTCGTGGCGAAGGCGATGGCGGGGCCCGGGGTCATCCTGTCCTTCATCATCGCGGCTGTGGCCTCGGTGCTCTCAGGTGGAGTCAGTGTGTGTGTGTGTGTGTGTGTGCGTGTGTGCGTGTGTGTGTGCGTGTGTGTATGCGTGTGTGTGTGCGTGTGTGTCTTGTATTTAGCCCCGTGTGTTCCTTCACTCCCTGTTCTGTCATTGTCGTTCCTTGTCTGTGTCTGTTCTTGTCCTTGTTCCGGGTTTGGTGACTTTTTGTGATGTTTTTGCTAGATCTTGTTTTTTATTACTGAAGAAGATGACAAAGTCTGGGATCGTCTCTTTAATTCAGACAGAAGACATGTTTTATTGTTTATGGTAGACGCACGAACACTATGGAGGACCAAAAATGACTAAAGTATAAATAAATAAATAAATAAATACAGGAATATATAAATAAATACATTCATTTTGGACAATAAAAACTAAATATTTACATTGATATGTTAAATATTACTCTGAAATCAAATAAATATACTTTTATTTAGGTTATTTATCAATATCTACATTTTTTCCTTTATTTATTTATCCGTTTATTGCATATATTTATTTATGTATTTCTACATTTCTTCATTTATTTATTTATGTATTTCTTCATTTATTTATTTATGTATTTCTACATTTCTTCATTTATTTATTTATGTATTTCTACATTTCTTCATTTATTTATTTATGTATTTCTGTGTCGCTACATTTCTTCATTTATTTATTTGTGTATTTCTACATTTCTTCATTTATTTATTTATGTATTTTTGTGTTCCTGTATGCTAATTAGGTGGGCGGTGCTGAACTCAATCTAGAACAGGATTGGTTAGGATTGCGTGAACTCTGGTCTTTCCTGCCTCACATTACGGTACTCTGTTAGCTAGCTAGAGATCCTCTGTGCACTTTTGTGTGGTATGATGGCTTGGTTTCGAATGTACGTTTTTTAGGAGCCATTGCTCATCAATTAAGAGCATTAGCAAATGATGTTAATGATGTTGAGCATAATGCACCTGAGGACTATCTACTCTTTCGGCTGGAAAGACTATAGATGTTTTAGTTCATCACAGTGTTGACCCAGAGGTAGACTTTGATGCAACTGTGCTGGACGCTCTTCAACAAGCAGCAGCTTCACATCCTCTCACAAACCGAGAAGGCTTTGACCGTAAATCCTATTTTTTACCTCCAAGTATGATTGAACATGCAATTCACATGCAATACATTCACGCAATCCTAACCAATCCTGTTCTAGATTGAGTTCAGCACCGGCCACCTAATTAGCATACAGGAACACAAAAATACATCAATAAATGAAGAAATGTAGAAATACACAAATAAATAAATGAAGAAATGTAGCGACACAGAAATACATAAATAAATGAAGAAATGTAGAAATACATAAACAAATAAATGAATAAATGTAGAAATACATAAATAAATAAATGAAGAAATGTAGAAATACATAAATAAATAAACGAAGAAATGTAGAAATACATAAAAAATATATGCAATAAATGGATAAATAAATAAAGGAAAAAATGTAGATATTGATAAATAACCTAAATAAAAGTATATGTATTTGAGTAATATTTAGCATATCAATGTAAATATTTAGTTTTTATTGTCCAAAATGAATGTATTTATTAATATATTCCTGTATTTATTTATTTATTTATTTATACTTTAGTCATTTTTGGTCCTCCATAGAACACGAGCACAAACAAGGTGGTAATATACAGCAGGAGAAACGGAGAGCTCCCATCAGCAGCTGCCACGGTGCCAGCAGCTTCAACCTTGAGATAACCAAAACAATGAAAGAGTACTGGCTTCTGCATATGTTAGAATGAGTTAGAACTTTAACCACAGTTGCTTCAAAGTGTCATGAAATCTCTAAATTACTTTTTATTAAAACCATTATTTTGGAGTTTGGGTTTTTCACCCCACGTGACAGAAATTATTGAATCATGAAGTGATAAACTCTTGGGGCTTCGTGATCAGCAATTCTTTCTTTCTTGAGGAAAAAACACGCAAAAAACTACCACCACTGAAGAACAGAATTTTGGTGCATATAAAGCCAAATGTCGTGGAATAATGACGAGGGGAAACATGGTCAAAACCACTGAAAAGTTATTTTTCCTCTAAGTTTCAGAAGTAAATCTGTAAAAATACATGACTGATGATGAAGCTGTCATTGCACCAACGATTCTTCACCAAAACCCACTTAATGAGTCACTTTTGGAAGGTAAAAGTTGGTAATATGTTCGTCATTGGTGAGTCCAGGAGTTTTGAATAAAAAAGTTGAGTATACAGACATTGATTGGTTTAATATAATTTTTATTTGTATTTTACTGAAAGTTAAATTTCACAGCACAGCTCCCACTCCTGTTCAAAGTCTTGCAGGTTCCTTAAGATCGCAGGGTCAACAGGAACTGATAGAACTCAGGCCTGTGGACCCACGTCCTCTCGATAGCAAGAAAACTACACTAACCTATTATTGGAGCCTTTATTACCAAATAATTTACATTTTAAAGGGCCTGTCATGACACTAACGTGCTATTGGTGCTCTCAAACTGTTGCATCCAATCTGAAATACTGCTTCCTATTGCATGCAACACGTCACACTAACCACTCATCCCACACACGGTGGTGGTGAGCTACTAGCCACAGCTGCCCTGAGGCAGACTGCTCCTAGTGAGGCTGCCTGTTATCGGCCCCTCCTACCACCACCTCATTCACACAAGGCAAAGTGGGTGAAGTGTCTTGCCTAAGGGCACAACGACAAGTTTACAGTCGCCCCACTGCAGCACCTAGTTTGTGTATCCCTTTCTTGGAACCCAAAGGATTAGTCTCTAAATGTAAATTAGTTATCTACATTTGACCCATCCTGATGGGGAGCAGTGGTCGCCGTAGTAACAGCGCCCGGGAACCCATCTCTAGATATTGATACTATAGGCTTGATCAGGAGTACCAGAGCTGGAGGATTGTACCTATTGAGCATGTTTTTAGTGGTAGGGGAAACCGGAGCACCCGGAGGAAACCTACGCAGACACGGGGAGAACATGCAAACTCCACTCAGAAAGGCCCAGTTCCGACCAGGAATCGAACCCAGGACCTTCTAGCTGAGAGGCGAGAGTGCTATTCACTCAGCCACGTGCCGCCCGTCATAATAAAGTTGTATTTGGAGAGCAGCTTTGGTTATGAGAATAATTCATGTGATTTAAATGTTGACCCATCACAAATATCCCTGTATCCCTTCATCCATACAGCCTAGATTATAGATTATAACTAGAATTTATGACGAACGGCTGGATGCCTTTTAAAGCCGGCAAATGTCCACAACTGATTCTCAAATGTTTGTGTGGATATAGTCCATGACTGTGCCTTAAATGTTGGCAGAGTGCTGCAGAACTGGAATGTTGTCCTTTACAGAAGGAACATAAACATTGTCCAGACTCTTTAGATGATTCCTTGGAGCTCCGCATTTTGGATCCTTGCTCGGAGCTCTTTGACTCTGGGGTTTTCCTTCACTTGTCCAAAGTCTATGTTGTAGACGTTGTTTGTTTGAAGATGTAAAAGTTTTTGAGCGACTCTGCACAGTTCCAACTGAAGATGATGTGCACCTTGAAGAGTTCATCGCAGAAAGTGTTTGTGGCTGGTATGGAGCACCTTATGGTCAACGACCATGAGAACATCTGGATGTTGTGCTTCCCATCACCAACACATAAAAGCAACGGTTGTCCAGACTCCACCCCAGCAAGGAAAGAGTCAAGGCTCACTCCAATCTGTAAAATAGTGAGGATCGTTACTTTTTACACATACTTAAAATAGATATAAATGGTTATAAAGGAAACAAAAAAATACACAAATACAGATCTTTAAAGAATGTTTCTTTCGATATTACCAACGTACCTGCAGATATTTAACAAGGTCGTTAATATCTTGAGGTGAGCTCCACTTGCCACTTCGTTTATATCCTTTTGGAGTTGGTGGAAGCATCCAAACATCCAAAACAGAGACAGAGCCTTGTTGGTCATGTTCTAGAAAATGGCGATTGAAAAGTATCCTTTGTGATCGCTTGACGTGTTTAGAGAGTCAGCATCTACAGCAGGGGTGCCCAAAGTGGGGCCCGCGGGCCAAAGTTGGCCCGCCAGACCATTTCAGTTAGCCCGCCAAACATTGCCCACCTCCGCTATAAGTTGCTATCTGCGTCCCTCAGCCTAGCTGAACAACCAGTGACATGTCTGAGTCCGTGCGGGCGCGCCGACGCTTTTGTTCAAACTAAATATATGAAAATAGACTTTACTTTTGTAAAGTAAATGTCATTTTCTAGTACAATAAACCTATACATTATAAATCACTGTACTATAGTAATGCAAAACTGTTTAGAAAAAGGTCTTCAACAAACAGTTTACTGACATGAGCAGGTTAAAAATATAGATTATTTAATTTGGGAGTATGCTATTTTTTAATATAAATTAGTATTTTCATTTACTAGCAGGAACACTATTTGTTTAGTAGCGTTTTAAAAAACAGTTTATTTACATAGAAAATCAGAATCAGAATCATTTTTATTGCCACGTAAGTAACAGGAAGTCACAGACTTGGAAATTGCTTTGGCTCAGTGCAACAGAGATAATAAAAATAAAGAATAAAAAACACTTCTAAGGAATACATTTAAATTTAAAATAGAGTTACAGTTACTATTTACAATATACAAGTGCACATGGTGCACACAAAATGTATGTTTCTGTTCTCTTTTTGAAGTTTTTTATATGATTTTAACCTGTAAATAAGCCATGACAGATAATCTCCCTCCTCTGGACCCTGATTACCCGGCCGGAATCTTTCCGTACTGTAGTCTCCTCAAACCTGCATATTTCCCAGGAGCCTCCACTTCACTAAGACTGTGTTGATTTCATTAATTCAGCTGTGATTTGCACTGATAGACAATAATTAATGCATTTAAAAGAACTTGATCAAATCTACATTTATTTGTGTTTCATGCATAATATCGGTGTATTTGGCCCGCGGCCGACTGGCAAAGTTTTACTT